AAATAGTAAGGTTCTGAAAATTAGAAAAAAACAAAAAGTGGTTGTGTAATTTGGACACTAATCTGAACACTGTTTGAGAGTCAGCGGATTTCTAGGATGCCAGAACAACAGGCTTAAAGTAGGACTTCCTGGGGAAACTGGGATGAATGGTCCCCCTACGAGTGATCAGACATTTACTGAATACCTACTGTGAGTAGAGCACTATGTTAAGATGATAAGGCATAGTCAGAACTGTGGCACTTGGAAAGCCTTGTGAAAAAGGTTAAGTCTTGAATCGGTCTTGAAGTAAGACTTGGGAATTTGTTTAAAAGTCAGGGACTGGAACACCTTGGTCTTGCTAAAAAAGGATCCTGTTACATGCTACAGCCTGGCTCATGTGTCCTCTGGCAGCTTTAGAAGTACTTTGAAACCACAACCAAAGGTTCCCTGACAGAATAATAATTTTGTGTCAATACTATATGGGCCAAAACCCTTCAACTTTATTTGGGGGTAATGGTGGGGCACTGAAATAAGAGGCTAGAGTGGTAGAAGACAGTTGGCATATCCCAGGGATTATTCACTCAGTCTCCCCCTTTTCATCACTCTAAGAACGGAATAGTTGCCACACTAACTTTCAACTGTTAATGGAAGGAAGGAGCATTTTCTATTGCTAGTTAGGGGAGTAAATGTAGGCATAGTGAGGGAAAAGGTAGTTTATACATGTAGGATCAGAATTTATTTTCAGATTTTTGGTGAGGGTAGGAAATAAAAAAGATGGAGGAATCCAACATTACTCTTAAGTTTTTCGTTTTTTTAAATGAAAGAATTACAATGCCATTGACAAAAAAGGAAAGCTACAATTCATGGGGAGAGGGGAGATGATGTTTTAGTTTAATTGATTTGAAATTATTGATGTTTAATTTATTGAGTTTAAATTCTGTATTTTAAAGATACTAAAAGCACCTTACAACTTTTTTATTTATCAAGATATGATTTACATACTGTAAAATTCACCCATACCTGTATAAATTATGTACCATAAAAGTCATTATATAAGTCAATGAATTTAGTATGTATACTTACTACATAACACTTACCACAATTATCACTACCATGTAATTTTTAGAACATTGATATCACCCTAAGAAAGAAACCTCAGCCCTGGCCGGTTTGGCTCAGCGGTTAGAGCGTCGGCCTGCGGTCCTGAGAGACCCGGGTTCGGTTCCCGCTAAGGGCACGTACCTCGGCTGCAGTTTGTCCCCGGCCCTGGTCGCTTGTGCGGGTGGCAGCCACTCGATGTGTTCCTTTCACATCGATGTTTCTCTCTCTCTCTCTCTTCCTCTCTCTCCCTCCCACTCTACCTGAACAAAAAATGGAAAAATGTCCTCGGGTGAGGATAAAAAAAAAAAGAAAGAAAGAAACCTCATCGCCATTCCTACCTCCAGCCCTAGGCAACAACTAACCTACTTTCTGCTCCATGTCCTTTTCTCAACATTTCATATAGATAGAATCATACACTATGTGTTCTTTTGTGTCTGCGTCTTTCACCTAGCATGTTTTTCTGTGGGTTAGGGTTAGGGTTAGGGTGTGTGTGTAGAGGGGTGTGTGTGTGTGTGTGTGGAGTGTGGTGTGTGAGTGTGGTGTGTGTGTGGAGAGTGATGTGTGTGTGTGGAGAGTGGGGGGGTGTGTGTGTGTGGAGAGTGGTGTGTGTGTGTGAAGAGTGGTGTGTATGTGGAGAGTGGTGTGTATGTGTGGAGAGTGGTTGTGTTGGAGAGTGGTGTGTGCGTGTGGAGAGTGGTGTGTGTGCGGAGAGTGGTGTGTATGTGGAGAGTGGTGTGTATGTGTGGAGAGTGGTTGTGTTGGAGAGTGGTGTGTGCGTGTGGAGAGTGGTGTGTGTGCGGAGAGTGGTGTGTGTGCGGAGAGTGGTGTGTATGTGGAGAGTGGTGTGTATGTGTGGAGAGTGGTTGTGTTGGAGAGTGGTGTGTGCGTGTGGAGAGTGGTGTGTGTGCGGAGAGTGGTGTGTGTGCGGAGAGTGGTGTGTGTGCGCGGAGAATGGTGTGTGTGCGGAGAGTGGTGTGTGTGCGGAGAGTGGTGTGTGTGCGGAGAGTGGTGTGCGTGTGCGGAGAGTTGTGTGTATGTGGAGAGTGGTGTGTGTGTGGAGAGTGGTTGTGTTGGAGAGTGGTGTGTGTGTGCGGAGAGTGGTGTGTGTGCGGAGAGTGGTGTGTGTGCGCGGAGAATGGTGTGTGTGCGGAGAGTGGTGTGTGTGCGGAGAGTGGTGTGTGTGTGTGGAGAGTGGTGTGTGTGCGGAGAGTGGTGTGTGTGTGTGGAGAGTGGTTGTGTTGGAGAGTGGTGTGTGCGTGCGGAGAGTGGTGTGTGTGCGGAGAGTGGTGTGTGTGCGGAGAGTGGTGTGTGTGCGCGGAGAATGGTGTGTGTGTGGAGAGTGGTGTGTGTGCGGAGAGTGGTGTGCGTGTGCGGAGAGTTGTGTGTGTGTGGAGAGTGGTGTGTGTGTGTGGAGAGTGGTGTGTGTGTGGAGAGTGGTTGTGTTGGAGAGTGGTGTGTGTGTGGAGAGTGGTGTGTGTGTGCGGAGAGTTGTGTGCGTGCGGAGAGTGGTGTGTGTGTGGAGAGTGGTGTGCGTGCGGAGAGTGGTGTGTGTGTGGAGAGTGGTGTGTGTGTGGAGAGTGGTGTGTGTGTGGAGAGTGGTTGTGTTGGAGAGGGGTGTGCGTGTGCGGAGAGTGGTGTGTGCGTGCGGAGAGGGGTGTGTGTGTGGAGAGTGGTGTGTGTGTGGAGAGTGGTTGTGTTGGAGAGTGGTGTGTGTGCGGAGAGTGGTGTGTGCGTGCGTGGAGAGTGGTGTGTGCGTGCGTGGAGAGTGGTGTGTGCGTGCGTGGAGAGTGGTGTGTGCGTGCGTGGAGAGTGGTGTGTACGTGCGTGGAGAGTGGTGTGTACGTGCGTGGAGAGTGGTGTGTGTGCGGAGAGTGGTTGGTGTGTGTAGTGGAGAGTGGTGTGCGTGTGTAGTGGAGAGTGGTGTGCGTGTGTGTGTGTAGCTCATGTTGCTTGCACTTTTTAAAATGAATTTGATAGCTAATAGAGGAACATACTAAATACATGAGTCATGTGGATAAATTGTGTGAAATCATTAGTGCAGGGAAAAGTTATATATTGAAAGAAGGTGATAATATAAAGTGGTTTTGTGAATGTATATCATTCATCTATAGGCTTTCCTTGCTAAATACTTGCTAACATAGATTATCAGTATATAATAATTATTACAATAAAAGCTCGGATGCTGAGGTAGATATTTGTTATGAGACATTTGCAATATTTGGGTTGGAAACAGAATGAACCCCATTGGTTTCATTTTCATTTTGAATTTTTAATAAATTATTTCATAAATCGTAATTCTGTCTCATTATTTTTGTGCAAATGAACATGGATTGTGGACTAGAGAAATGATTATTTTCCCTGTTAGTCTTGATGATCTTGATTAGAGTTAAGTAATTGATGTGAGTGATAGACCTAAGTTATTAGATAGGGAAGAACAAAGGGATGGAAAATGTACATATTGCCATTAGAAAGTGTTTTGTCAATTCCAGTACTGTAGAGATGCATTTATCCCAGAATACAATTCATATTATTGCCCTAAGTTGATTAATGTAAAATGTGGAATTATTGACTCCTTACCTTATTTGAGACATTTAAGTATATAGATATGTCAAAGCATTAATGTTGTTTACTTCATAAATTCCACATAAAGTGTGTTAATTTAAAAACCACTCTGGCCTGGCCAGTGTGGCTCAGTGGTTGAGCATCGACCCATGCACCAAGAGGTTGCCAGTTGGATTCCAGGTCAGGGCACATGCCCAGGTTGTGGGCTTGATCCCCAGTGTGGGGCATGCAGGAGGCGGCCAGTCAATGTCCTTTCTCATCGATGTTTCTCTCTCTCTCTCCCTTCCTCTCTCTCTAAAATCAATAAAGAAAAAAATATAAAAACCATTCTGGTTCAAATTCAAGTAGCTTTATGTTTTTCATACAGTCACATTTGAAATAAATTCATATCAATTGATATGGGACTAATCGGAGGAAAAATTATGAAGTAGGAAATTTAAGTACACCCCATCCCTCTCTTTTGTTCTCCTTTTTCTTTTTGCATACCTTACCCAGGAGCTTATAACATACCATCCCTTCTTTCCTCAGATTAATGTAATTTCATAAATTGATTCTTATTAAGTTATTAAGGACTTAATGTTGCTTTTCTCTGACATATGTTTTTTGTTTGTTTGTTTTTATCCTTACCCAAGGACATTTTTGCATTTATCTTCAGATGGAGCGGGAGGGAGAGAGGGAAGAAAAGAGAGAGAGAAACATTGATGTGAGAGAGACACATTGAGTGGTTGCCACCCACACGACCCCAACCTGGGCCGGGGACAAACTGCAACCAAGGTACTGAACCCAGGACTCTCTGGTCCGCAAACCAACACTCTGACCGCTTAGCCAAACCAGCCAGGGCTCTCTGACATACTGTTTTAAAGAGGGTTACAGAGTAGGTACTGCTGATCTAAAAGGAATGAGTTACTAGTAGTTGATTTTTGTGTGGTTTGTGGAAGGAAGGGACCTGGGAAATGGAAAGCAAGGTATTTATCTCCTCTATTCTGCCTCATAGACAAGACTTAATTATATGGTTATATTCGGGAGTTAATTAAGTACTAATGAAAATAGAATAAACTATTGTAAAGATAGATGTTTCCTCATATTTTTTGTAAAGGGATTAAAAGAGAAAAATAAGACATTTTTGGGTTGGAGAGTTGGCCTCATTTGGGTTCATTTAATAGTTAAGATTTGGGTTTATATTAATGGTCATAGTGTCATTTTCTCCCTGCACAAAGTAAATATGGGTGATTTTGAACATACTTCATCATTTTTACTCCCCTGTCCCATTTAAATCTATCCAAAAGGATTCCTATCTTTTAACTTTGTGCTTAATAATGAATGTTACCCTTTTGTTTTTGTTTTTGTTTTGTTTCTAGGCTGTATTCATCACCAAAGAAAAAACTTACACCAATGCAGAAATTGGTTAGCCCATTAGTTTGGTGCAGGCAAGTTTTGGATTACCCAAGTCCTGATGTTGAATGTGCTAAAAAATCTCTTATCCACAAACTTGATCAAACTATGTCAGGTATGTCTATAATTTTCTTGTAAATTCATCTCTTTGCTTTCTTTAATAAAAAATAACAACAAAAACACCCAAATATATGTTGAAATATGTTTTTAGGAAGGCAGTTCTTTGCTTGGTAGTGTGTTTTTCAAATCTCATTGTGCATGCCATCATGAGTTTTTTCCATATGCACATAACCTTGTTCTATTATTTATTCCACTTTTTTCAATCACATTTTTATTTAGCTTCATTCTAAAGAATAATTTTCAAGAAATATTGGATTTTACATGATAGGTTTCTTTTCTAATACAAGTTAAAACAAATAACTAGCTCTGTCTCTCTCCTTCTCTGTCTTGTTCTCACTGTAGCACTTAGTCACTATGTGACTGCGTGTATTTAACAGTTTTCTCTTAAGAATAAAGAACCTTGTAAGGTTGTTTTAAGGATTAAATGATGTTTATGAAAGAGCCTTGCATGTTTTTCTGACTCATAAGTGCTTAGTAAATGTATTAATTTTTCTTCCTTGTTATGTTTTTTTCTTTTAACTTGGCATTTTAAGTTTAAATTGCTTTTATGCTCTTTTGTTCATAGCATTCACAAAGCTGGCACAATGCAACTGTGACTGTGGCATTTAATGTAGCATGCCAGTGTGGGTAGAAATGTAGGGAAATATTATTGACTCTTTCTTGGAATTTCTCTCAGTCTCTTAAGAATGTTGCTATTCTCTGGAACATTCTCATAGTAAAGGATTGATGGATGATTACTAATGCAAAATAGGTTTTTTGAGTTCTTTGTTTTGGATTTACTTTACACTGCTGTATTTAAAATCACTTATTTTGGCTTTATTATGGAAATAATGAGCTCTCTTGTTAGACTGTAAGCTGGAAATGGTTAGGGGAGGTTTAGGGGAGACTAAACAGTTAAATGGGCATAAAGTAAAATGCAGTTGGTTGGTTATAATGAGTAATGGGTATTATATGAAAATAACATCTAGGATATGGTTACAGAGCTTCTGAGTCTGTTTTGACACTGAAATTTTACTTTTCCTCTGTGGAGAATCCCTTTGTAAAAAGCAACAGCCTTTATGTAGTTTTTTAAGTGTTTTTGTTTGGATATCAAGTGTTTTTAGAATTATGTCCTGGAGCTTGATTTAAATTATATTCATAAGAGATTTTTAATTTATTTTTTTCTTTATTGATTTTAGAGAGAGAGGAAGGGAGAGGGAGAGAGTGATAGAAGCATTGATGAGAGAGAACATACATTGGCCACCTCCTGCACCCCCTCCACTGGGGATCTGGCCCACAACCTGGGCATGTGTCCTGACGGGGAATTGAACCAGCTACTTCTTGGTGCATGGGTCGACGCTCAACCACTGAGCCACACCGGCTGGGCACCAGTCCCTGGTTTAAAACATCCTAAGGAATGGGAACTATTAGTAATTGATGATTAGCAACTTAGACGAAGAAGAGAAACCTAAAATTGTTGCACCTCAAAATAGCAATTTGAGTGAGTGGCTGGCGCTGCTTTATTATAAAGGGTATTACATATAGTAGGAACGTGTAAGAGAGGCTGTTACTCTGAACTAGGTGTAATCAAGTACTAGATCTGTTTAATAGTATTTAGATTTTATAGCCATATATGCACAGAGCAATAGCTACAGCTATAAATATAATGTATATTTAGAGGAAAAAATAGCTTGGCTCTTTCAGGTTTGAACTTTGTAGTCCTAAACCTCTTTTTTCCCAAGTTGGTGGAAAGATTGTTTTTTAAATGGTTTTTTTTTTTTTTTTTAATCCTCACCCAAGGACATTTTTTGATATTTTGTTCAGATAGAGTGGGAGGGAGATAGAGAAACATCGACGTGAAAGGGACACATCAAGTGGTTGCCACCCACACGACCCAACCAGGGCCAGGGACAAACTTCAACCAAGGTACGTGCCCTTAGTGGGAACTGAACCTGGGTGTCTCCTGACCGCAGGCCAACGCTCTAACTGCTGAGCCAAACCGGCCAGGGCTAAATGTATTTTTTGATAAGGCAAAGAAAGCTTCCTAGAACAGTCTGCTCCATCACACTCAGCTCTGCAGTGCACTATCACGTGTTCCTAAGATGTTCTTCTCTTGTTTTCCTACGGTAGTACATTATTTTTTTACCTTCTTCAACCCTCTCTGCTGTTTTCTATTCAGTCTTCTTTGAAGGTTCTGCCTTCTGCCCATCTTTGTGTGTGTGTATGGTAAAATTTACATAACATAAAATTTCCCACTTTAACCGTTTTTAAATATACATATAGTTTGATGGCATTGAGTACAATTACATTGCTTTACAACCATCACCACTGTCCATCTTCAGAACTTCATCATCTCATACTAAAATACTATACCCATTAATCTTTACATTCCTCCTACTCCCACCCATCTGGCCATCTTTTTTAAACTTCACCCGAGAGTATATGTTTCATTGAGAGGAAGGGAGAGAGAGAAAGAAACATCAATCTGTTGTCTCATGCACACTCTCTGACCTGGGATGAAACCCTCAACTTGAGTATGTGCCCTGACCAGGAATCAGATCTTTGACCCTTCATTGCACAGGACGGTGCTCTAACCACTGAACTACACTGGCCAGGGCCATCTGCCAATCTTAAGTTTAGGGTATCCTGTGTCCCTCTTTTGCCCCACTGCTCTCTGTTTTGATGATTTCATCCACTCATATGGTATTCAATATTATATGTATTCAGATTAATCTTATTCATTCATGCATATATACAATTAATATTTATTGACAGCCTGTTATGTATCAGGCTTTAGGAAGAGGGTGGAGGATGCATGATGAGGAAAAAAGAACATTGTATCTATATTCATGGAGTTCACCATGTAGGAGGGTAAGTGTAAATACAAAAAATTGTTTTAACTGGTGATCTGTAACAAAGGAATAGTATACAGTGCTTTGAGAAATAGGAATTTTGCCTCAGCAAGTGGTATTTAACCTGAATCCTAAAGATTCAGAAAAATTTAAGTGGGCTAAGGGGAAAGGTGAAAGAGGACGTAGGATATTCCAGGTAGAGACACCCTGTGTGGATGTGTGGTAGGAAGCACGGCATATATGAGGAACTGGAGGAAGTCAGGGTGGCTGTAGGAAGGAAGCGATATGAGATAAGGCAGAAAGATATGTAGGAGGCAGACTGAAAGGCCTTATAGATTAAAGATTTTGGACTTTATTCTAAAAGTAATGGGAGGATATCAAAGGGTTTTATTTAAAGGTATGTGTGTGGGTGGGAAGACAAGATTTACATTTTGATTGTGTCTTACATAGCTATAGTATGGAGAGTAGATTGGAGAAGGCCAAAAATGAATGTGGGATGCTCTTGAAGGGAGATTGATGATGATAGCTAGGTAATGTGTGTTGGAGTGAAAGGGTGGTGGTAGAGATGAAAAAATGTGGAGGTAAAAAGGAATGAACCAAATATGAGGAAATGAGGGAAAAGAAAGTATTAACAGTGATTCCTAGTTTCCAGCTGTGTGACAGGAGGAATGTTGTTATTTTGAGGTGGGGACCCCAGGAAGATAATTGTTTTAGTGGGAAAATTGTGAATTTGGTTTGGGCATGTTGGCCCATTTTTCATACCTGCAGGAGAGACTGAAAGGGCAGCATATATGGGAGTGAAGCTCAGGAAAACTTAGGAATGGACATATAAATAATGAGTTTTGGGCATATAGATAATAGCTAATGTCATGGGTATGAATGAGATTTCCCAGGAAAGAGAATATGGTTAGAGTGAGAAGATAAAAGGGCTGAGGACTTGAAATGCAAATGATTAAATAAATAACTAAGTAAAAGAGAATGAGCTTCAAATACTGCTTTCCCGCCCCCACCCCCAAATCCAAACTTTGAAAAGGCTATTTTTAAAAACTCATTATTTCATGGGTTGTTGTTTTTTTTTTAAGCAATATAGTTTGTTGCAGAAAAATGAGGAAATACAAATATCCTTTTCCATTCATTTTATTTTCAAAGGCAATTTGAGGTTGATAAAGTTGAAATAAACTTTCCAATAAGATAGAAGTAGCCCTGGCCAGTTTGGCTCAGTAATTGGAGAGTCGGCCTGTGGTCCAGAGAGACCCGGGTTCGGTTCCTGCTAAGGGCATGTACCTTGGTTGCAGTTTGTCCCCGGCCCTGGTTGGTCGTGCGGGTGGCAGCCACTCGATGTGTCCCTTTCACATCGATGTTTCTCTCTCTGTTCCTCTCCCTCCCTCCCACTCTACCTGAACAAAAAATGGAAAAATGTCCTCGGGTGAGGATAAAAAAAAAAAAAAAAAAAAAGATAGAAGTATATTCATTTAGTGCCTAATAATTTGTTAAGGAGATATTCATCCTGTGATATTCTTTTGTTGTTTGCTGTGGCTACTCTTTTACTTGCATAACACAATTTAAGATAATGAAAGTATTTTGTTGGGGTTGTTAATATGTTATATTTTCCCGTACTATAAGAATGTTTCTGGCATAACCAATGGACACAGACAACAGTGCGATGAAGAGGTGGGTGAGGGTGGGTGTGGGAAGGAAGATCTCAATGGAGGAAGGAAGGAGAGATATCTGTAATGCTTTTAATAATAAAGATATATCAGAAAATAAAAATTTTAAATGTTTCTGTATCGAAATTTAGATAATGACTTATTTCCTAATAGGAAAAATTTTATAATAAAACATTAATTTTTTCTCGGTTACTAAATTTGATTTCCTCCTTCTTGTTAATGCAGCTCTCAAGAGGCAGAATTTATATAATAATCCTTTCAACTCCATGAGTTACACGAGTCCTTATAGTCCAAATGCAAGTAGCCCATACAGTAGTGGTTTCAATTCTCCGTCCTCAACCCCAGTGCGACCTCCTATAGTCAAACAGCTAATACTTCCTGGAAATTCAGGTAAGGAGAAAATGAAATGGAGTGATTAAAAAATGGTTTTTAACTTATTGCCCTACCTGACAAAATACCTTATTCACCAATAGTTCAAGTTCTTTTATTTATCAAACTTTTAACTGTTTAGAGAAAATATCATTGAGGCACTACTTGGCACCAGATACACAGGGATACAGATAAGCCAGTTTACTTCCATGTTTTCATTAGCATGTACTTAAAAGTTTATAAATCTGGCTTCATTAAATAGGTTCCCAGGCTTGATTATTTTAATCAATAGATGCTTATTAAATAGCTTGCTTGGATTATAAAAGCTATAGACTTAAAAACTTTTTAATACGATGTTAATATTGATATTGCACCCAAATAACAGTATAAGGAATGTGCTCAAAGAGTGTCTGGAGTCCTAAGTAACAAGTGAGAGATAGATTGCTGTAAATTGGGGAAAGAACGTTCCACTTTGGTTCTGTAACTGCAGCGTTACTCTGAAGCTTACTGTTCTTTAGAAATCCCTCATTCAGTTACTCTTATTGCTGCATTGTTATGGCTAATTATTATAATTTCCTTAAAAGTTAAAGTATTGTTAACCGGCACACATTTTTTACCTGAGTGCTCCCTAGTCTGATGATTTTATTGACCCTGTTATTTGCTTTGTACATAGATTGTTTCTTGCTAAATATTTCATCCATTGCTCTCATACTAAAAAGTTTAATCTGCTATATTTGTTTAATATAAAGGATTAAACACTATTTGAGCCTGGCTTTCCATATCCTGTGCTTTGTGCTCTTCTTGATAAATACAATATTATTTCATATTCTTGCTCTTCTTATGTGCCTTTATGTTGGAGCTGACTTACAGTGAAGAATTCTGGAAAACAAGCCTTCAAATAAATTTGTATTAGAAATAATAGTAATACTGTTGTGATTTTGTTATTCTCCACTAGAAGATGATCTGATGAAAGCATTTCTTTAGAAACAAGTTAGACTCTTTCAGATATGTATGTCCTTTGTTCCTCTGCCCTATCTTCTTTCCCCCTTTTGGTTTAGAACGACAAAATACTTTTTTTATCTAGTCATTTTCTTTATTCCATTTATGTGGTTCACTACTAAATTTCAGAGAATTCCTTGGATCGTCATTTCAAGTTTGGCAAAGGAATTTTGTAAACGTGGCATAATGTAGGAGAAATGAGCTAGTATTCTTTTGTTTGTTTGTTTCTAACTTGCTAAGGAATCCTGATTTTCCTCAAATCCTAGTATTCTGGTTTAGAAAAGAATGGGTGCCTTTATTCAGGGAAAAAGATGATAGTGTTTGCTAATGACTATGAATTTGGGAGGAAAAACACCAAATCATAAATTTATCTATTTATAGAGCAGTATCATTGGCTATCTTGTAAAAGTTAAAGTCCTTTAACATGTATTATTGAAAACTAACTACTTGTCAGGAACTGTTTATAGTGTATCTGTTTTATAAGAGAATAGATAAGTGAGAGTTAAATGAAAATGTGTTTTATGCCTATGCCATAATGTATTTAGGACTCTTCATAGCCCTCATTATTCTTAATAAGGTCAATTTTTTATTTTAATATTTGGGAATTGGATATACAAGAGGCAGAAAAATAATGATCTAATTAAAAGATATATCAAGTTAATTGCAACAGATGTTTATTCAGTTTTTGTTTTACCAAAGTTTGAATTTTTTTTAAGGTAATTTGAAAAGTTCATCAGACAGAAATCCTCCACTCAGTCCTCAATCCTCTATAGACAGTGAGTTAAGTGCTTCAGAATTAGATGAAGATTCGATTGGATCCAATTATAAGCTAAATGATGTAACTGATGTGCAGATTCTAGCTCGGATGCAGGAAGAAAGTAAGTATTTTAATTGTTAAAGTTGAGGTCTTTTATATGACCAAGTTTTGTTGTGGGTATGAAATATGTCTTAAAGTGTTGTAGAATAGTGCAGTTAGGGTAGAAATGTTAAAATTTTACAGTATTTTTCAACTTATGGATTTATTTTTGTTAACTTGTTTTTGGAGTCCATTTTATGTAGAGCAGTTTGTTATGTGAGGACCAAGACAGGCAGGTTTCGCTCTGCTTTCATGACTGGTAATCATATCCTGAAGGCTACTTACTCTGCACTGCAGCTCACTAGTGTAGTTATTACTCTATTACTCTGGGTTTACTTAGTGTAGATCGGTGTTTCTCAGTCTTTTTTTTTTTTTTTTATCCTCACCCGAGGACATTTTTCCATTTTTTACTCAGATAGAGTGGGAAGGAGAGAGAGGAAGAGAGAGAAACATGGATGTGAAAGGGACACATCGAGTGGCCGCCACCCACACCACCCAACCAGGGCCGGGGACAAACTGCAGCCAAGGTACATGCCCTTAGCGGGAACCGAACCCGGGTCTCTGTGGACCGCAGGCTGATGCTTTAACCGCCGAGCCAAACCGGCCAGGGCTTCTCGATCTTTTTTTTCATTGCTGCCCTCCTAAGGTGCTTTTTTAGATATTTTCTCCTCCGCCCTCTCTCCCCATGAAATTGTAATACCATAGATATACTCTATGTCTCTTTAAATACTATGAGGGACACAATTTATTTTGGTAACTAGATTTTTTTTTCACATCCCAAGAAGCAATTTTTGCTCCCTTGGAACAAATACCACCTCCCTTAGAATGTGTGGTATAGAACATAAAAAAAGACCTTTATGAGAATGTTGGAATTGTGACTTTAAATTAAATGAAGCATATTGTATTGCTTTGCAAAGTGGTTTTTGCAACATTTTGGGTCACAGACATCTTTGAAAATTCAATAAAAATCATGTCCCCTGTCACTCCCAAAATATATATAAGCACAAAGTTTTTTATACTATTTCAAGGGTTTGTGGCTGCTCTGACTCTCATCTAAAATTAAGATGGTGGTTATAATATTACTTTCCCCTATACATTTTATTGTGGCTGCCATGGACTTAACTGTGAAATAAGCAGTCACTCTAAAGTGATCCCTTTAGCCTTTATAATAAAAGATCTTTGCAGCAGCATACATTTCACACTGATGGTGGGCTGAGGGTAATGGAAAATTGCTATAATTTAGTTCAAAAACTTTGTTTTAGACCCTTTCTTTTATGTAAACATGTAGTAAGTTTTATTAAGTTATAACATTTATTAGGAAACTGCAGAATGTTTCTTATTCTACTGATTCATTTCCCATTTTCACACAACTTCCCTTAGAAAGATAGGAAGACTTGATGCTTTATTTATCTTTAGCCCTAGAAATTAATAATACAGTACTCTCTCTTCTTCTGTAATTTTGTATAACACCTCACTGAGACTATGGTGTTGTCAGCTAGTGACTTACTGTATGGATATGAAAGGAGAATAAAGAATGCTGCCTGACTGTAACTTAGAGTAAACTAGCCAATTCTATGAATCCTGACTTTTGGACCCCCGTATTTTGTTAGAAACACAACCATTTGCTGTAGCTTTCATATTGTCTTTTGGTAACAAATAATAGAAATTTTAACCTTACTGTAATAATCCTTTCTCAACTGTCTACATGCACAAATATTTATTTTCCTGGTGAATTAAAAAAAGATACTAAAAATGTGTGGGATTCCTCCTTGAAAACACCAGTGGTTGTTTTTTAAAGAGAATGATTTTCCTTTTCACAACATTGTTTCTCCAGCTTGTTGCAGTAGAAATGTAGAATTACAGATTTGGACTGTTGCCTGGCTAAGCCTCCTCATTTTTAGGATAAGAGAGACACAATCCCATAGTGATTGTGACTTCCTTAGGCTCCCCTTGTTAGTGGAGAGCCTGCATTGGGGTCTGGATTTTTCTTTTCCAAAACAGCTCTTTTCACTGGTATGTTGTTTTTTTGTAGGTAACTTTAATGCCACATTTACTATTATAAGACACTAAGTAACTTATTGGTTACTATAGTGGTCCCCAAACCTGATTAAAGGGCTAGGTAGGCCCTGGGAATCTGCAGTTTTATAGATACCCTGGTGTGCTTCTCACCAATCATATTAGAGAACCACACTGATAGCACATTCTTTGTGCAGTAGTCCACTCCTTTTAGTGGGGGATACTTTTCTAAGACCCCCAGTGGATGCCTAATACCATATATATGCTATGTTTTTTTCCTGTACATACATACCTATGATCAAGTTTAATTTATAAATTAGGCACAGTAAGAGATTAACATCAATAACTACTAATAAGCTAGAACACATATCAATATAGTGTAATAAAGATAAGTGAATGTGGTCTCTCTATCAAAGTATTTTATTGTATTGTATATACACTGGACAAAGGGATGGTTCACATCCCAGGCAGGACTGGAGTGTGATGGTGTGAGATTTTATCACGTTACTCCAGGATGCATGCAATTTAAAATTTATGAATTGTTTATTTGTGGAATTTTCATTTAATATTTTCAGACCATGGTTGACCGTGAGTAACTAAAACCACAAAAAGTGAAACTGTGGATAAGGAGGGACTACTGTGTGAATATATAACTTAAAAGTTTGAAGACTACTCTTTTAGACTAGACTGCTGATAGTTAGCAGGACTTGCTCAAAATATTATCTGAATTCTTTTCTTGAATTACAATTTTTTCTCATGTGTATCAACAATTGTTTTTATTCTAGAAGTTTTTATACTTTTCGAAGGGCTTCTAAGTTTGCTTCGGTGTTTTTGGAGATATCGAGATACATAGGGGACTCTTTTGAAAATATTTACTTGATGGCTTAGAAATTAAGCTTGTTTTATTCAAGTCTCTTGTGTTTGAAGCAATTGAAATTTCTTTTATGCCCAAATACTGAATTCCTGAGGGTAGGATAGAAGTTTCCTTCATCATCATCTTGAATAAGATTAACCTAAGTATTTGATTTGATTTTCAGGGAGTTTATTTACTCACAGTGTATTCTTTTCTTTTTTAAGATTTTTTTCAATTTATTTTTAGAGAGAAAGGAAGGGAGAGAGAGAAACATCAATGTCAAAGCAAAATATTGATTGCCTCCTGCATGACCCCCACTGGGGATCCAACTGGGCAACTTTTTGGTGCACAGGATGATGCCCAGCCAACTGAGCCACACAGGCCAGGGCCTCGCTGTGTATTCTTTACTGGCTGGAGAGTAATTGTTTTCCCTCACTATTCCTTTAATGTTAATCTCAAATTTGGATTACTGTTTTTATGAGTAGAGATATTTTTAAATTTGTGGTTCTACTTGTAATATAGATTTCAGATTCAAGAAGAAATGTTGAAGTTGGGCAAATGTTTTTAAAACTTCATTCAGTTTAAAAATTAACCTTTTAGCCCTGGCCGGTTTGGCTCAGTGGTTAGAGTGTCGGCCTGCGGTCCAGAGAGACCCGGGTTCAGTTCCCGCTAAGGGCGCGTACCTCAGTTGCAGTTTGTCCCCGGCCCTGGTTGGTCATGCGGGTGACAGCCACTAGATGTGTCCCTTTCACGTAGAAGTTTCTCTCTCTCTTCCTCTCTCTCCCTTTTACTCTATCTGAACAAAAAATGGAAAAATGTCCTCGGGTGAGGGTAAAAAAATTAACCTTTTAGATGTGGTTTGTGCATCTGTATATAGGAGGATGTCTAAAATTATTCAAGTGGAGAATTTTTCTTTACACTTTATACTCTATTTGAATTTCTCAGTAATAATCTTTTGCTTTTAAACCTTAAAAATATTTGAATGTTTAAAAATATAACTAAAGAAATAAAATTACACATTCATTATCATCAGGTCTCCGGCAAGAATATGCAGCCACCACATCTCGGCGCAGTTCTGGTTCATCTTGCAATTCTACAAGACGGGGTACTTTTAGTGATCAGGAGCTTGATGCACAGAGTTTAGATGATGAAGATGACAGTATGCATCATGCAGTATACCCTGCTGTTAACAGGTTTTCACCATCACCACGCAATTCACCTCGACCATCACCTAAGCAGTCACCCAGAAATTCACCTCGTTCACGATCTCCTGCTCGGGGAATAGAATATAGTAGAGTGTCCCCGCAGCCTATGATTAGCCGCTTACAGCAACCTCGACTTTCACTTCAAGGCCATCCCACAGATTTACAGACAAGCAATGTGAAAAATGAAGGTAATCAGAATGTTTCTGGGGAGAAAATTGTCCTTCATGTTTCAATATGAAAGTAACAATTTTTACCAGGATTTTGTATTTCAGATAAATAGATCAACAATTTAGTTAGTTTACCCTTTCACTAATAGTGAATCAATACAAAAATAAAGGAGAAAGTGAATTTAATTTTATTTGATTATGTTAGCTTTGCTTCATTCTAATCATAAAGTGATCTGTATATAGATTTTTTATTTAAATGGATAATTTATAGTTCTTTTTAAAGTTCCTCTTATTCTACTTATAGAATCTGGGTTGAGTTGTGTGTTGTTATAAGATGTGTACGTCCTGTTAACTCTTCTAAAATATACAGAATGCTAAATACTTTGATTTTTGAATGCTGATTAATATTTTCTTTTTCCATCTGAAAAAATGGTTTTTACTTTTAATTAAAATTTTGTAGAAAAACTAAGACGCAGTCTTCCAAACCTGTCCCGAACATCTAATACACAAGTTGACTCAGTGAAAAGCAGCAGAAGTGACTCAAATTTTCAAGTGCCAAATGGAGGAATACCTCGCATGCAACCTCAGGCTTCATCCAGTAAGTATCTCTCATGACAGAGATATTAATTTTGTGCTATATAGCTGTACTAAACTATTTAGTAAAGTGTAGTGATTACTTGTTATAAGATAATCATAGCTACATTAAAATTAAAAGTTGTCCCTGTAAGATACCCAGTTATATGAGTAGTTATATCTGTATGAAACTCTGGTCTCTGAAGATTTTAAAATAAGCAAAGTCTAATTATTTAATATATAAATATATGTGTTTCTTAAAAACCTCACATTCTGCAGTAGTGAACATTAAGAATGACAGGATTTGGGGGGACAGTAGTCCTGGAACAGACCACTTAAAACTCAAGCAGCTTTCTTACTAGAACATTAATAAAAACAGTTATGATCCTATAAAAATACTAGCACAATTAAAACCATTTAAATTCTTAATAAAGTAAATACTCCAACAAATAATAGAACTTTATTTTCAAAAATAGTTGAAGATGACTTATAGAAAGAAAGGGTTAAGACTATTGAATTAAGGAGAAATATGCAACATAAACAAAGATCAAAGAGAATCATGCAGAAGAACTAAGAAAGAGGGTCCAAACTGAGCCAAGAAATGATGTGGGAGTAGATGGGCACTGTGTACTTTACTGTACAGAGGATTAAAAATGAATGAAACACTTTCCAAAAAGTGTTACTTGTAATTAGGATAGTAGTCAAGCCAATTTTAAACAAACTATCACAGTTATTTCTACTATTTTAGAAATGCTCAATATTTATGCCTCGTATCACGTCAGTCCTGCAGTCTGGTTCATTCAGTTCTTTTGTAGCACGTTACTGTCAATGGTGGCTGTGATGTGTTCCTTCACTCTAGTCATTTATAACTTGTTTATTGAGAAATACAACTTAGAAAGCATTCAATTCATTTTAGTTCCCTTGCACTCTTCCTTAGTTATATTGTGTTTAGCTGACTTTGTGTACTTTGTGTGACGCTGCTGTTCTTGGTGGCTCAAAAATCAACAGGCCAGGAAAAAATACATTTCAACCCAAATGACTTTTCTGAAAATGTTAAATTTTCTCTATTTACCAATTGCATATGATATTATTTATATTACAGAAATTCTCTTTGTACTGTACTGTATATGCATAATCCTGTTTAATTCAGTTCTGTGAATTGGGTACAAATATTAACACATTTTACAAATTAGGAAGTTGAAGCTTTGAGTGCTTAAATAATTTATCTATGGTCTTACAGCTTGTAAGTGTCAAGTTAGGATTCAAACCCATGTTGATCCTGCTCAAGGGCCCAAGTCCATCCATGGTTTAGTGTTAAGACATACAAATTATCCAGAAATATTATTTCTGTATTTTTTTAAGATAAACTCTAAAATGTAAGGCACTGTGGAAATTTGTTACCCAGAGATTTGCATACGTCATTTATTTGGCTGGTTATATGCAAAAATATGTTTTTTGTACCAAATTAAATTTGTTAAACTTAGTATTCTAGGTCTTGTGAACTGTGTAATTAAGAGTGTAATTATGACACTCATATGAAATGGTAAAGAAATTAGGGATTCAGAAAAACTTAAAAAATGAAAGTAAAGATGCAATTTGAACTTTTAAGTTATCTCTACATTAAAGATAGATTTTGTGCCTCTAAAATTACAAATTAAGTTAATTTGACATTTGAGAAGTCCTGTTTCTGGGTGTGTTCCCCTCTCTCTCCCTTGGTATATATACTTGCCTGAAACAAAAAGCAATCCACAGTGTTACTACAACAGAAAAGAACATTTTGTATCATTAAGAAGATTAAGTAGCAAAACTCATGTATATTGTAAACTACACTTTTATACCCTATGCATAGATAATCCAAAACATTATGTGTACTTGGCTTTCAAAAGTGCTTTTATGGTTGGTTTGAATTATTAAGTTTTGAATTTCTTAAAACTTTGCACACTATATCTCCAATCAGCTTCCCAGCTCTTGATGAAATCAGCTGTATCTGTATCCTCTTTACTTTTATTCCATTGTCAGTACCAACTCTTTACTTAGGGTTGTTCCCTTATGCCCTCTCACGTGCTCCTTATTTGAACTACTCTAGCAGCTCAAAGCTGTATGGAAATGAAAAATAATTCTTCACAAAAATAGAAGAAAAAATAAAGGTTGATAACTAGGATAAAAGTGTTAATAATAGAAACATATATTGGCCATATCTTAAACTTCATGACAATTACTCGCTGTCTCTAGTGATTGAATTACCACTGAATGATCACCTTCTGATTCCCTAGAATTTGTTTCTGTAGGTGAATTCATTTTAATTTTTCTTCTCCAAAAGTTGATAATTAAGGAAAATATATAGGGTTACATAATGAGATTCTAATCACTAATTTACTTTTAAGTGTTTAAATATGTACGTAGTTTCATAATGGTGTGCTTCAATATTTGAATAATTTACAGGCAGAAGAGAAAGTAAGGTACCATCCTTTTTTTAAATTGCATATACTTGTTCATTTTTATATTTGTAGCTGTAGTGAAGCTTATTTGTAATTAAAATTTCACAAACATTTTAGTAGTCACACTATTCACAAAAAATGTATTTGGAAAATAGTAAATCCCAAATATTAACAGCTTTAAAATTTAAACTTAATATATTATGAAACAAAATATAATGTTACCTATAATTCTTAAAATTTTACATATATCTTTGATACATAAAAATGTATCTATGTAAAGTGTTCTTTTTACTAGTAGTATGTGTTATATACTGTTTTAATAATAGCCTTTTTATTTTGATATATAACAATGTACAGATATAATAGCAAGTTTTATACACTTTATATATGAATTTGTATTTTTTATTTTTTGTATAGTTCGTATAACAGATGTTGCATTTGGTTTTCTTTTTTAAAGTATTTGTTTGTCCAGCTCTTAAGTAGTAAAGCTTTGGTTCTTACTTGCTGATCTGCATGAACCTAACTTTGCAAGGTTGCTGTTATTTCCACCTAAGGGACCACTTCTTTTGCCTTGTTACTTTGCCAGTCAGTACTTTTACATGCTTATTTGCTGTGGCTGCATTATTGTGGGTGCTGGCATTCAAGTATGAATATTATGAGAGTTCTTACATATTTTTATTTTTATAGCTGTTACTAATTTTTTACTTTTATATTTGGAAAATGTAAATGACTTAAAAAGTTTAAGAAAACCAGAGCATTGCAGAAGTCATTGTTGCATGTCATTTTCTCAGTTTCTCCAGCTAAAGAAAGGAATGTTTGTCAGGGACAGTTTTTCAAAAGACTAGTACCTTGCTTTCTAAGACTAGAGCATGGGTTAGTAGAAAGTTTAGTTTTCAGAAAAATAGAGGAATTATTGTTCAGAAATAAGGGAGAAAAATCCAAGACAATCTGCTGGTTTAAGAAAAGTAATAATACTCAGACTTTGGTTAGAATTTTAAAATGTTTACTTTCACATATATTATCTCATTTGAACCTAACAACAACCCATTGTTATTTTTATAGAGAGGGAACAAAGATTTATATAAATTATATGTATAAATATAACTAGAAAAATGGCAAAACTGAGCCAAATTACTTCGTTCTCCCTGAGTCTTCTAATTTCCTCCCAATCATTGTTTGGATTACATCATGCTAACCTAACTGCAAGTGAATAAGCATCTTGGAAAATATTCTTGGAAACTTTGTCGGAGCATGATTCTTTGTGTATTGCCAGAAGAGAGCAAAATCATTCAGTGTAATACGTATCCATGGCTTACATATAGCCAAATTGAAGAAAATTTTTGTATAGGGTACAGAGTATACTCCCAGAGAAAAGGTAGATAGTATAGGGTCAATTGTCAGTCAGCTTTACCCATAGCCAGAGGCCTATGGGGAAGGAATTTTCATCCATATTTCACTTGGAGCCAAAATACTGGAAGGTTATACTTGAATTTTATATAATTATAAAACAAATTGAAATAAGTTATGATAAATTTTTGTAATTGATTATATAAGAATGAACAAAATATTTGTAGAACTACCATCTAAGCATAAGTAGTGCAGTGATGTTAGGTTAATTATCTAATCTTTAAGTGATTTTATAAATGTAGTTTTTCTGGCCCTTGCTTCTAGTAATTTTGATTGAATACATCTGGGATGGCAACCATACTCTGTTTTTTTAGTAGTGTCTCTCATCTGATTCTGGAGCATATTCAAGTTTGAGAACCACTGGATTAGACCTTGATTGTAGAGTAACTAGAATGCTTAGTTTATACAGTTGTCAGTCACTTAATGTGTTTCTTAAATTATTCGACGACATATTTATTTGGAGTGTATGTTATGTTCCAAGCACTTGGAATATAAATGTGAATGAGATGGCCAAGCCCTTCAGTAGTAGGGAGTAATAGGCAGGAAATTCTGTAGGAACAAGGAGGCAGTAATCTCAGTAATGTAAAGAAATTTTCAGGAAAGATTTTGAAAGATAATCTCAACCAGTTTAGGAGGATTTTATGCCACATGAAGAAAGGAAGTACAGTTTTCCCAACAGTGAGATCAGTAATGAAATCTTAAGGATGAGAGATATAGATAGGGGATAGATTGTGGGAGTTTTTAAATTCCATATTAACAAGTTTAGATTTAGTCCTATAAATGTGGGGAACAATGATATTTCTTAGAAAATTTAATTTGGTAGCAATGTAGAGAATGGATTAAAGTTGAGAGTCTAGAAACCACTCAGAAGGCTATTTCATAATCTGGGTAAGAAATAATCTGAACAAAGGCATGGTGCAGGCAGTGATAAGATCTGGATGAATTTTTAAAAATGAAGTAGAAGCTATGGGACTTGGTAACACTGAGAAAATTGGAGGGAGAGAGGATTGAAGGATGACTGAATGAGAAATCTGTAAGCAAACAAAATGTCTTGGGGGTGTGGGAACAAGGGTCATTTTACCTGGCAGTAATTAACATTCATTTGTAGTGGCTTATGCTTAGTATTTGGCACCTGAAGAGGATTATTTTTAACAACACCCCACCCCCCACCCCCCGCAAT